GCCATATTAACAGCAGCTAATAATTGCCACTCACCGTTACCAATGTAATGAGTTAAGAACTTTGAAGATGTCTTCTCTTGGAATCTATACTTTGGCAATCATGTAATTCTCATTTCACAGAACAACGGAGGCCCATGGCCATCCAATCTCTCGGGTGAGGTCCTGATCTACACAAGACCAGCCCAGAGGGCTGAGGTCCCTGTCTCAGGCATTACTATTGTCCTCCCTTCTCCTCCAACCATTTACACAAAATAAACACAACTCCGGGGGAAAGACCAATTGCTGCCAGGCTTCATTGCAGAGGTGTCTCGTCCTAGTCACTCTGGATAGTGAGGAAGGATAGCAAGTTTCGGGCCAGCCTGGCCTACAAATGAGTTTCAGGCCAGTCTCTCTCCAGAGAGACCCTGCCTCAAAATAAAAAGAGGGCCTGATGTAGCTCAGCAGTAGAGTACCTACCTAGAACTCCCCAGTGAGGAGCTCAAGAGAAGAGTATTTGGTTAGCTTGTCTGAGCCTTGGGTTCAATATAATCCTTTTAACTAGGTTGTCCTACCCCATCATAACCTATGCATGCATTTTGCAGTTATCAGAAGCCTCCAAAAAGATTCCCACTCTACCCAGGCTCCTTTGCTTGTTTTTATCATCCTCTCCAGTCTGAGGAGCCATGCATGGGTGTCTGCCACCAAAGGGGTGACTGGCCTTCGTGGCTGGCTTCACAGCCAGCCCATCCCAGCCATGCAGCTCAGGAGAAATCCATCCTGTGGGGAGACACAGGCAGTGACATACACATTCAGAAATGTACGCGCAGATGGACTCGCCAGCTTTGCATGACACATTTCCGAAGAAACACTGTGGGTCCAAGGCAGCTGCAGTAAGGACGAGCGTCTGTGCAACTCAGGAAAATGCTCTTGTGTTCAAACGCCAGCTCAGCACAGGACACAACCCTGAGTGGGTTTATTTCTAACTGCTGTAGTTTCCCTCTTTACAAATGAGGAAGAGTTTTAAATTAGAAATATTTTGGACACTAGATTTTTCTGTGAAGTCTAGGTCAGATGAGAATTAGCAATCCTCTCGTCTCAGCTTCTGAGTGCTGGCCTGGGCCACTACAACCCCAAAGATGATGCTAATGGGTTCACATGTGTGCAAGTGTGTGTGTGTGTGTGTGTGAATGCATGCACATGTATGTGCAGGTGTCAGGGTGCCATCTATCTTGTTTTTGGGGACAGGGACTCACCAAGTAGGCTAGGCTGACTGACCTGTGAATCCCATGGATCCACCTGCTTCTACCATTCAGAACTGAGATTAAGGGTGGGTGTCACCACACCTGGCTTTTGTAATGAGGGTTCTGGGGCTCAAACTAATAACACATTTGCACAGGAAGCACTTTACTAATGGAGTTTTATTCCAGCCTTGATAATGATAATTTTAAAAAATCAGATACTGCATCATTATTTTGAAGATTAAATCAAATTATCCTGAGTCCTGCCTGCCTAGAGTCACCCAGTGAGGGGATGTAGCTCAGTGGTAGAGGTAAGCCTCAGGTAAGAGACTGGGGGTGTGGTTCAGGGGTAGTACCGGTCTAGTAAGCCTCAGGTAAGAGATTGAGGGTAGTGCTCCTGCCTAGAACTCCTCAGTGACAGCTCTAAGATGCTTTCACAGCTAGTTTCTAGTGCTGTCAGAACTAGTGGTTATACTTGTTCGTTTAATCCTTAGCTGCATTTGACAAGTGAGAAATAGAGGGTTCTAGAAGGCAGGTATCCTACCCACCCTGGCACAGATGGCAAGTGGCTGAGTTAATCTGAAAGTCACTTTGGGTCTGAATCTGGAGCCTTGATTTTATATGCATCTGGAATATGGGAGGGCCCTGTGTGTTATTGCCGCTGTGGTGAAGAATGAGAACCAGGAAATAGAGAGTGAGCTGGCCGCCTTTGTCCTACTCTGCTTAGTAGAAAAAACAAGACGACACAGTAGATGAAGGAGCTTGCCTCCAAGCCCGATGTTCTGAGTTTGATCCCTAGGACTCATGTGGTAGAAGAGAACTGACACACACAAGTTATCTTCTGATCTACACACGTATGCCGTGGCATGCACGTGTACACACACACAAAAGATAGAATGAGTAGAATCTTTTTTTTTAATTTAAAAAAGCTAACATTGCCGGGCGTTGGTGGCGCACGCCTTTAATCCCAGCACTCGGGAGGCAGAGGCAGGCGGATCTCTGTGAGTTCGAGGCCAGCCTGGTCTACAAAGCGAGTTCCAGGATAGCCTCCAAAACAATACAGAGAAACCCTATCTTGAAAAACGAAAAAGAAAAGAAAAGAAAAAGCTAACATTGAGAGCACTGACTAAGGAGACAGATGAGGACCGCCTTGGGACTATGCAGACAAGCCTAGGGCGCCAAGCGGTGAGAAAGATGTCAAGGAAGGAAGGCTTCTGGACACATGAGCTGATCTCAGGGCAGTGGTGGGGTCGAAGGCAGGAGAAGATGGAGGGTAGAGGGTGTGGTGGTTCAAATGGGACTGAACCCACAGGCTCCGGGTTTGAATATCTGGTTCCCAATTAGTGGAACTGCTTGAGAGCGGTTAGGAAGTGGCTTTGTTGTATGGGGTATGTCATGGAGGCTGGGCTTTAAGCTTTCAAAAACCCACATCAGACTCAGCCTCTTTCTCTCTCTGCCTGCAACTTGTGCATAAGATGTAAGTTCTCAGCCGCTTCTCCAGGGAATGCCCACCTGGCTGCTGCTATGCTCCCCACCGTGATGGAAACAGATTAACCCTCTGAAACTGTAAGTAAGGACCCAATCAAATGCTTTCTTTTAAAAGTTGCCTTGGTTGGGGCTGGAGAGATGCTCAGAGGTTAAAAGAGCACTCGCTGCTCTTCCAGAGGTCCTGAGTTCAATTCCCAGCAACCACATGGTGGCTCACAACCATCTGTAATGAGATCTGGTGCCCTCTTCTGGCCTGCAGGGATATATGCAGGCAGAACACTGTATACGTAGTAAACAAATCTTTAAAAGAAAAGTTGCCTTGGTCATAGTGTTTCACCATTGCAAAATGCAACAGAACAGTAACTAAGACAGAAGGGATGCTTGGGGGGAGGGGAGGGTGAGTGAGGCCTGGGCAGCGGGGGGCGGGGCGCAGTCCGAGAGGAGGGGCTTCCTGCTAAGCTTTCACTCTCTGACCCTCACTGCTTGACACATCAGACACTAATGACTAGTGAGCCAGTGAGCTGACAAGAAGGTGGAAAAAGGAGGGATGGGTGGGTGAATGGGTGAGGTATGGGTGAATGGCGTGGTGGTTGGAGTGAGGATCGGTCCCCATAGGGTCACTTGGTCCTGGTTGGTGGTGCTGCTTAGGGAGGTTGCAGAATCTTTTGGGGGTGGGCTTGAGTGTTCATGGTCTTAAGTATTCACGGTCTTGATCCACTTCCAGCCCCCCCCCGTCTGCTTCCTCTTGTCATCTCTCAGTTTCCTGCTCTGGCTGTCTCCTCAGCTGTTATAGACTCCCCCTCTAGAACCAGAAGCCCAGATAAATGTTTCTATAAATTGCTTTGGATCATGGTGTTTTACCACAGTAATAGAAAAGCCACTAATAGAGATGGAGGAATGGAGAGATAGGTGATATTTGAATGGCTGGCTAAAGGCTGGAGGGAAGGACCGACGGATGGCTTGGACCAGAGGACTGGTAGACGGATGATGGTGTTTATGGGTGGATATTGGAAGAATAAATGATAGGGTAGTGCTCCTGCCAATCCAGACCCCGCCCCTGAGAAAGTCCACCATCAGAGACTCCACCCCTGGAGTGTATTTAAAGCCCCCGCCTCATGGTTTTTCTCCTCTTCCCCTGGGACCACCTGGGAATACTTTTCTCACATTAAACCTGGACTTCTAATTCTTAGTTTGGCTTTTGGTTTGACTGGCTGCATTGGCAGAGAGGCTTGATATTGGGGTAAAAAACTTCTCATGAACAAATGGACAAGTCTGCAAAAACCTGCTTGTTTTCCTTCCCGCAATCCCCCAAGGCATTCCCTCCACCGACCCGTTCCTGCCTACCTGCTGGGAATCCCTCATGGTGCCACCCAACGCCTCCTGAGAAACCAGTGCTTGAGGTGGGCCAGGCTAGGCCCCGGGGTTCAAAGAGAGGTCATCACACACATCTCTGTCCATGCCCAAGCCTGCATAAACGCTGGTTCCCTTCCAGTGCTCAGCAGCAAGAGCTAACCCCAAAAGAGAGGTCAGCCAAGTTGCAGAGGTGAGTAGGAAAGGGAACCCTCCACACAGGGCTGCAGCCGGCATCGCTGCGGTACTGACATCATTTGTGGAACTGGAGGAAAATGCTGATGCGGGAATGTAGGCCCTGGGCTGGTGGCCAAGAGCTGCTGATGGTCTGACTGAGGTGGCAAGAGTAGCAGAGAGAAGTAGCTGGCAGCTTGGCAGAGGGACCAGCCAGGGAACAGAGACAGAAAGAAGAATGGAGACGCAGAGCAACAGGGACAAATGGAGGAGGTGAGAGGGGATACAGGGAGAGATACATTAGGCAGAGATAGGTGGAGACACAGCATGACGAAGATGCAGAGGGTTTGGCTGTGAAGTTTGGGGACCGAACTCGGGAGGCATGGATGTGGGAGAGACTCAGAGGGCCCCTCCCTTCCTGAGGGGTTGTTGGCCAATGGTTATTGGTGGAAGGGAAGCCATTTTTCTTCAGTAGTGTAGCAACTGGCGAGTTGTGCTCATACAAGCAGCTCTAATTAAACTCAGCGGGTTATTAAGGAAAAAAGACATGAAAGTAGGAGTAGGAGGGTAAAGGTTGGGAAGAAGACTTCCAGAAGGATTGGGAGGAAGTAAGAGCGGTGCATGGGAGACAGAGTGACAATGTTGGAGAGGTTCCAAAGAAAGAAGAGACAACAGGCTGTGGGCTGAGGTGCAAGAGGTGAGTTTTACCAGAATACATTGCACACATATATGAAATTGCCAAAGGATAAATAAAACATATGTATGCATGTCTGCATTTGTGATTTTGTTTATTTTTAAGAACTTAGGTTGGGTTACAGAGAGAGAGAAAGGAGAACAGGATTTAGAGGATGAATAGTTGTCCTAGCTACTTTCCTGTTGCTTTAATAAAATATTCTGACCCAAAGCAGCTTATGGGAGGAAAGGGTTTATCTGGCTCCGACTTCCAGGGCACAGTCCATCACTGGGGGAAGCCAGGCCAGGAACCATGGAAGAAAACTGCTTTTTGTTTGCTTGCCACCCATGCCTCTGCTTGGCTATCTTATAAAATCCCAGGTCCACTTGCCTGGGGAATGATGCCACCCACAGTGGGCTGGGTCCTGCAACAGCCATTAGCAATCCAGAAAGTCCCAACAGACATGCCCACAAGCCAACCTGAGCTAGGAAATTCTTCAAATGAGGCTCTTCTCAGATGACTCTAAGCTGTGAGGACTTGACAGTTAAAACTGACCAGGAAAGAGGACTTTCACTGAGCCACTGAGCAAGAGATGAGGAAACTGATCCCAGAGAATGTCAGGTTTGAATGAGCTATTCTCAAAAGGTCTTGGGCATTTAACACTTGATCCCCGGTTGTGGTGTTTGTCTGGGCAGTTTAGATGTGGTCTCGCTGGAGGAAGTGTGTCTGTGTCTCTTGGGGCAGGCTTCGAGAGTTCAAACATTTGGGCTCCTCCCTTCCCAGTTTGCTCTCTGCTTCCTGCCTGCGGTTAAGATGTGAGGTTTCAGCTTGCGGTTCCTGCAGCTGTGTCTGCTGTCCCCTGCCACCATTGTCTCTTATCCCTCTGGAACTGTGAGACCAAGTAAATCTTTTCTTTTCAAGTTGTCTTGCCCATGGTGCTTTATCACAGCAACAGAAAAGTAACTAGTTACTTGGGTTGCACAACATTCCAGGATGCCCTGTATGGTCTGAGACTGTTCTCTTCTTACACAGTCCACTGAGCTGGCACTTGTTCATTCATTCATTCATTCATTCATTCACTGCACGTGCCTCTAACAGGAGGGCTTCAGCAGTCCATGATGCCCCTTGTCCTACAGAGATGGAATTGAAGGCAGCTTAATGAGAGAAAGGGAAGGGTCAGTGTAGCAGAGCTCTCTCTCTCTCTCTCTCTCTCTCTCTCTCTCTCTCTCTCTCTCTCTCTCTCTCTCAGAACATTGAAAGACATGGTCACAGAAGATTGACTGAGACCATTAAAAATAGGGACTTTTAAAATTGCCAATAGTGGGGCACACCTGCACTCACCAGGCAGAAGCAGGATGATGACTGTTCAAGGCCAGCCTGGTCTACATAGGAAGTTCCAGAGCTACATGATGAGCCCTGTCTTGGGAAAATAAAAACAACAACAAAAGCAACCCTCCCAAAACAAAACCAGCTGAACCGACTGAAGTTTAAGTTTCTCCCTTCCTAACAGGGAACCGCCGGCTTCGGGCACAGCTGGGTCCCGCCATGCCAAACACTGGAAAGCTGGCGTCTCCTCTCCACCTGGGTCCCGCCATGCCAAACACTGGAAAGCTGGCGTCTCCTGCTCCACCTGGGTCCCGCCATGCCAAACACTGGAAAGCTGGCGTCTCCTCTCCACCTGGGTCCCGCCATGCCAAACACTGGAAAGCTGGCGTCTCCTCTCCACCTGGGTCCCGCCATGCCAAACACTGGAAAGCTGGCGTCTCCTGCTCCACCTGGGTCCCGCCATGCCAAACACTGGAAAGCTGGCGTCTCCTGCTCCACCTGGGTCCCGCCATGCCAAACACTGGAAAGCTGGCGTCTCCTCTCCACCTGGGTCCCGCCATGCCAAACACTGGAAAGCTGGCGTCTCCGCTCCACCTGTCTTTGATCTCAAGCAAGCTCTGCATCAGCACAGTGACACACGGGCCTCTACCTTAGAGAAAGAGAGTGCTATTCTTTAGCATTGGAGTCTGGGTGGATTCGCAAACCCAGGAAGCAGTCAGGAAAGACAACATAACAAAGGCCACCTGGGAAGGGAGAGTGGGGATTCCAGTGGGTGTGGTGACACATTTCTGCAAGGGCATCGTGGGCTACCGAGGCAAGCTGTCTCTAAAGGGGGGGTTAATAATAATTAAGAGATTCAAGACACAAAGAGCGCCTGCAGGGAGCATAGACAGGACTTCCGCACTCACGCAGGACGGCCTAACAGGCACCTGCTTGCTTAAAGCCTCCGTCCTGGCCCTCAGTTCCACTTTTCCCGCGTTCAGGAGTGTGAGCCCCAGCCCTCTCCCCCACCTCGCGGCACCATGGTAACCAAGCCCAACCCAACGTCCCCTCCCCCCTAGAGAACTCCGTTTCTGTTTGTCTCCAGGTGTCTAGTTGGGGATGAGCAAAGGGCAAGTGGGCACAGATAGGGGATGAGAGAGGGGAGGGGCGGGGTGGGGCGGCGGGGGTGGAGAAGCAGCTATGGAAGAGAGACCGAGGAATCGGCCTGGGAGAAGGGGAAGTAGGAAGGCTCAGAGAGGGTGACAGGACTGGGGAGAAACTCCAAAGAATGAAGAGGGGGCGATCCGGGGGGCTGGGGAGGTGCTGCGGAGGCTGACGGAGAAGGCTGGGGAGATGGAGGGGGAGACCAGTGAGATGGGGAAGAGGGCCGAGACTTCCGAGAGAAGTGTGGAGGACAGCTGGGGCTTGGGGTTGGGAGGAAGGCAGGCAGAGAACTGGGGGGAGAGCCGAGGACAGGGATGGGGCAGGAGGGGCGCAGAAAGAGAGACCAGAAGACAGGGAGAGACGGGGAAGGAAACAGAGATGAAAAGATGCAGGGACTGGGGCGCACACCGAGTCCCCGAGGTTAGGGGAACGCGCGTGTCCTTGTGGTCACAGCCTTCCAGTTCCGTGTTTGTCCCACGTGGTTTCAAAGAGCAAGAAGAAGAAGCCGAGGGAAAGAGCTGGGGTGTGTGGCCCACTGTGAGCACTCCACCCCATCTTCCTGGACCTCCTCCGACCCGCCTTTCCAGGATGCAGCCAGAGGTGGAGCCGCTCAGCTCCCCCAACCTGGGAGCCCTCTGCTCGCACAGGGAGGCAGGTGAGCCAGCCCGGGGCGGGCGAACTGGCGTTCGGGTACAGTTGGTCCTCGAGCCTTGAACTACATTTCCCAGGAGCCCCTGCCGGTCCCTGGCTGAGACCCTGGGTACAGAACTACATTGCTCTTGGGGCTTTGCAAGTCTCTGGCCAGTGTGGTAAGCCCCAAACTACATCTCTCAGAGAACGTTGCAGTTCCCCGGGCTCATAACTACTTTTCCATGAGGCCCCCTTGTTAATATTCAGGAATCAAAACTACATTTCCCAGGAGGCCTTGCAGATCCCTAATCAAGGCTCTGGACTACGAACTACATTTATCATAGGACTCTGCAGGTCCCTGGCCAGTATTCTGGTTCCAGAACTATATTTTCCACTGCAGTTACCGGGCTAATTAACAGTCTTTTTACACGAAGTTCTGCCGCGCCCTGAACGCTACTTCTGGACCCAAAACTGCATTTCCCATGAAACACTGCAGTTCCCTAGCTAATACTCTGCATTTAGGACTCCATTTCCCATCACCTTCTGTAGTTCCATGGCAAATACCCTCGATTTACAAAGAATTTACAATGAAATGCTGCAGTATCCTGGCTAATGTTTCTGAGCCCAGAACTACAGTTCCCATGAGCCTCCTGGTCCTCAACAATGCCTCTGAGTCCATTTCTCCCCTAGATACCTTCATTTTTTGGTCTTGCACAATAGTTCAAGTTCTTCATGACCTTCTCAGTCCCCGTTCTTATTTTCAGAGGGCCCCACCACTAACCCAGGTGCTGAACCAGACCCCAGGTGCCCATCACCCACCCCAGCCTCTCCCAGTTCCCCTGTCCATGGTGTGTGTGTGTGTGTGTGTGTGTGTGTGTGTATCTTAATGGGCCATACCAGTAGGAGCATGTATGTTGCAGAATACTACTTTACGCATGTAAAGGTGTGTTACATTTGCTTATGCTGCATTTGTTTAATTATGTAAAAATGTGTTGCTGTTTTAACCTTGCTTACCTAAGGCACCTGATTAGTCTACTAAAAAGTTGGATGGCCAACAGCTAGGCAGAGGAGGGATAGGTGGGGCTGCCGTAGAGAGGGGAGAGAGAACAAGGGAGACAGGGAGATGCCATGGCCAGCCAACCTCCCTCCAACCACCAGACAGGGACGAAGCAGGAAAAGTAAGACATACAAAAAGGAAAGAAAGCCCCAAAACAAAACACAGATAGAGATAAGCAGGTTAAAATAAGTTATAAGAACTAGTGGGATAAGCATACAATAACGATGAACATCATTAACTAATAAGAAATCTTGCCGGGAGGTGGTGGCACACACCTTTAATCCCAGCACTCTGGAGGCACAGGCAGGCGGATCTCTGTGAGTTCGAGGCCAGCCTGGTCTACAAAATGAGTTCCAGGACAGCCTGTTACACAGAGAATCCCTGTCTCAAACAACAACAACAACAACAAAAAGAAGTCTCCATGTCATGATTTGGGAGCTGGTTGGTGGCCAAAAGAAAGTATGTTACATTTGTGGTTCCATTGTGTTGCTTAATTTTCTACATAGAGCCTACGGAATCTGGAAAAAAAGCAACCCTCCCCCCCAAAAAACAGACAAGGCTTCTTTAAGAGGTTCTGTCTACAGTGACCAGTATGCTAAGTAGCAACAGCAAGGTAAATAAAAACATCTGCCACAGTGTGAGCACCCACATCTCAGAGCTGGGGGGGGGGTTGAATGCAGCTCCCAGTTGAATGCAGCTCGAGGCCATAAAGCTTGGCTTTCATGGACCTGAGTGGGGCAGAGCCAACTGCCAGTGCAAAGCTGCTTAACAGTTTAAGGTTGGCTTACACAATCAGAAAATAGAGACATGCAATAAAGACAGGTCCAGACAGAAAAATCCTCTAAACAGGTTACAGTGTATTTAAAAATGTGCACAAGAAAATGGGTATAGACAGTCACAGAAAAAACAGTTTATAAATAATAAAGTAAAAAGTCTTTAAATAAGAGTTAAGTAATATAAGAGAATAAGCCAGGTAAAGATGGGAAATTCACAGGGAGTCTGGATCCTGTATGGAATTGTGTTGACTTTGAATATTTTTGAATGCTGATAAGCCCATTAAAGCTGCTGAGAGACATTGGATTGTAAAAGGAACTGCTGAATTAAACTAGCCTAGATACTTAATGTCTTAATATTAAAATGGAAGTCAGAAAATGTATTGCTTTGGGGAAGATGTTTTTCTTTTGTTTTCACAGGAACAAGGTTAATACAGGTCAGTTTTTGATCGAGGGAGTTGTCAGGAGCATTTATCATGAGCCATTGTGGGCCCTGATGCAATTGCAGCTTATAGAAATTGATAATTCAGATGTCAACCCACCAGAGAAATTATTCTCAGATGGAAGAACCCTGCCAGGCAGGGCCTGAAGAGCCAGTGGCTCTGAACACTGCAATAACAGCTATGATATTTCCCCAATACCATGCATCTTCATGTATGTAACCTCATGATTGCACCTCAGCCTTATGGGCACATCTATCTGTGGGTGATCATTTTTAACTGTAATTAAACAGTTGATGTATAGAAAATATACTAGGATATGCTTCATAACTAGACCTATTTTTCCACAAGGACTGTAGACACTTAAAAGTCTGCTTTGTTCCTTTTGCTCAGACTAACTGCACACAATTAGCTCATTTTTACCGCAGAACAAGTTCAAACTAGAATAAAGGTTTTTTGTAAATAGATCATAAGTTTAAAACTTTTTGGCTATGCACAATGTCAGAGTCACAGGTGTCTAATCAAGGTTGCTGCACAAAGCACCCTAAGAAAAACATGCCAATTCTTTGCTTGCCAAGTCTGCTGACAATAGACTTATGTCTCAAGTTTGTCACTGGGCACTGTGTCCCCCAACCCTTGGTCTGGTTTACAGTCTTACTCCTGAAGCCTTGAAACCATTGTGTTGCCATGGTAAATGGCTTGGCTTCTTATTCCCTTACCCTAGGGATGTGCATTTGACCAATGAGAGGTAACTCTTGTGATTCTTTTATTATTGCTCCAAGCCTCCTGTAAGATGGAGAGTTTTTTAGGCTAGAAAGAGAAGAAGCTAGGATAAATTAAAAGAAGGACAGGAGACTTAGACTAGAGACAGAAGAATAAAGAGACTGATTCAGAAAAGCACAGTGTGAGAGAGTTTGCTCATTTGTCCTCAGATACCCAAAGAAAAAGTACCTTTCACTTGTAGCACCCAGTCTGAACCCTGGAGAGAGTCTTGGAGCTGGACCCGAAAGGCTCTAATTAGGGGAGACCTCCTGAAAATCTTGGCTATAGACATAGAGAATTAAACTAAGAAAAACTACAAGATAGGTGACGTGTTTACTGGTCCATCTGCATGGGAACAGTTCTGAGACTGGACAACAAATGTTACAGCTAGTTTTCCCAGGACTTGACCATTATCTCAATTTTCTCAGGGTCCCCTAGAGATACTGTTGTCTCCAGACAGCAGGAAATAATTTTAAGAACACAATGCCCACATTCCCAGGAGGTGGGCTGGGTGGTTTTTGGTGATTCAGTGGATTATGGATGTTTCTCATCACTTAGGGGGGTTGTGGTCAATGCAAATTGTTATTGGTCATGGTCAGGGAGAAAACTAAGCAAAGAAGGTTAGACTGAGAGATCTTTTTCTGAAAAGAAACAGAGGGTATAGGAATGATAAAAGGATAGATTATTGAATCTACTTTAAACTAAAAAGCAACTATTAATCTCAAATATTTTACATTTGTATGGATTTAGTATATTGGTGGAAATTTAAGGGTTTTTTTTGTTATATCATACTGTGTATATGTTTCTATTTTTGTTTACAGGCTTTTGTATATTTGTATAAATTTAAGCTTATTTTTATTATAACATACTGTGTGTGTGTGTGTGTGTGTGTGTGTATGGATGTCTCTACTCTTTTTATTAAGGGATTTTGTATATTGAAATACATTTAAGGTTATTTTTGTTACAATATACTGTATATATGTTTCTACTCTTATTTAAGTCATTGTGTCTATGCAGTTCATTTTAAAATGTAAGATAAAGTTCTAGTCCTTGAAAGCTATTATTATAAACCATTTAGGATAATTTTAAAAATGCAGGTTAATAGTCATCTGTAATAATGAAACTTGTAGTTATGTTTTCAACATCATTAGAGCTACATTTTAGATAGATAGTCTTTAAACACTTCAAGAAACTACAGAATATGTAATTTAAAATCTTTTGTTAACATAGGTTTTTCATGACAGTGACACACGTCTGCTTTAGCAGCACCAATCTACTTCAAAAAATTATATATGCATCAAAAGACCTCCATATGCAGTTTGCTTTCACTGTGGCAAAGCTAGCCACTTGGGCAAGAA